AAAGCATCCGTACACCTTGCATAGCATGTTGGCTGATGCAAGCAATGTGTGGTCAGGTGTTATCCCGCTGATAAAGGCACTGGGCACTTGCTGAAGGTAGGGGAGTGTCGCCAGTCGCAGCACGTTATCCAGGTATCATTGGGCCATCATAGTCTTCACATTGACGCCACACTCGTACGCAGTGACTATTATTGGAGAAACAGAAGTGCGACTCATCTGAGAACACAACCCTGTGCCATCTGTCATCCACATCGCTCAAGCCTGACACCATTGCAGATGCTGGCATCTGTGATGTGCGGTCAATGGCAGTCTTCTTAAGAGATGTCATGAGTGTAGGCCACTAGCCATGGATTGACAGCAAATGGTTCTGGTCGATATGGGAACATCCAGGATGTCTTGAACATGTTGCATAATGGAGGTAGAAGTGGCTTGCGGGTGCGTCATCACTCATTGGCAGATGCGCTGATCCCCGTGTGCTGACATCACTCTGGTTGCACCAGCACACCCCGAACTTGTCATATTTCCTTTTCCCAACCATCATTGCCCCACCCAGTGCAGTGCACTGTGGACGCATCCAGGTGTATGTCAGCTGAGATTTGCCATATGGACCAACCTGCTCTTCTAAGTCCGATCACTATGCCCCTTGAAAAAATCATCTGTCTGCTGGAATTGCCTCCGATAACAGAGGCCTGGCATTCTCTGCTTTTACACATGCCCTCCGAGATAAGAACAAATTTTCTACTATGATTTCAATATCAGAAATAATGGCACAAAAATTCAACATTCTACAGGTTCCTTTTCTTATATCTTCTTCCTGTGCACTTCACATCATTCGCATTACTCGGTGACGTGCGTCTACACTAAAATTTGTATAAGTTTTGGGCCACTCCTTCTTGGTATTGCATTTTCAATGTCGGGTAGTATATAATATGATCTGATAACCCTGCACAGCAATGCTCACACACACCCAAAAATTTTGGCAACCCTGAACTTGCACGTGCCTTTTGTTAAATATTAGCATGCCATTTTGTTATGTGTTTTGCAAGTCTTCAAGTAAGTTTTCATAGCTTTAATTTTTTGTTTCATTTACAGTACTTTATATTAATTAGCAGAACTTTAAATGATTCAGATTTCCTTTTTAACAAGAATAATCTACTTTAAAATAATTTTACTGAAAATATATAGAAGTTCATGAGCTAGCCCTTTTTGGATTTGTAAGTGTGACTAACCATCAGTAATTCATAACTTATATGAATGACAATTTGGGAATTTTTTTCTACTGATTTACTAGTTTTCTTGCGATTATCTGTATTTTTTATGGATTATGATTTGTCATATATTTTTTTTAAAACTTTTATTTGCTTTATTAGCAATTTTACTTTAACAAGTTTTAATTCTTAATTTAATTTTAAATTGAGAAGACAGATAACATGTAGGGTCAGCTCTTCAGCAATGGGAGATGACCTGGATGTATTTTTCAATAAACAAATTAATTTATAATGTTTTGATGTCTTACAATACTGAGAGGAACAAAGCATGTTATTCATCTCTCATTCATCATGATTTAATGTTTTAAATAGGTATCCCTTGACTGGTTAAAGTTGGAAACATTAAATTGGGGAGATTAATAATTTAAAATTTTTTTTGCCATTTATTTACTTTTTCATTGCTTGTTTAATTTTGAGGTTATCACCAATGTTTTTGCCATATTTGCATATCGTACCACACACCTTTTGACCTTTCTAAGTTTCTATTTTTACTTTTGAGATCTCTTAAATCCCCCCGCCCAACAGCTTTTTCCTTAGACGGGATAATCTTTTTTCAACTTTATATAATGTGACAAAAAGAGATTTAGAACCAAATTCACAAAGACTCGAAAGAAATGAAATTTTCCCATAAATATGTAAAATTCAACTAATATTCATCAAACCAGTAGAAATACAGAGAAAGGAAATATAAAAAAATAACAAAAATATAGGCAGAGGAAAGCAATTAAAATCTATTTCAACGTTATCAAGAGTACATTTTTAATTGAACACCTCTTTCCTTGGAAAATTACTGCATTTCAGTTGATCCCGATTTAGCTGATGAACCATTCTCAATTATTTAATTTTAACAGTCCACCCAAAAATTCTGAATAGTTTTATTAACAGAGGGCCTAATCTATTCCAAATCATCATGATAAGCCCATGATGTGAAGATTTTATTCTTTTCTAAACTTTGTTTCTCTTTTCCATTTTCTTACTGTTTGCTTTCCAAAAGTTTAAAAAGAAATTCAAAATGACTTCCCTTTATTTTACCACTTGTGTGATTTCTACTTGCCATAGCTAACGATGCCAAACTGTCAACCTTTGGTATCCTCTTTTGAATTTCGATCCTTTGTTTTTTAGCTACATAATGGTAGGTTGTGGCGATTACATTTCACTCTTAGTTTTTATGTATATTTTATTATTACATTAATACTACATTTTATTTATGTTTATTTCAGTAAAATGTCTAATTATTATTCTTTTCCTTTCTTGGACATTAAATTAATACATAGTCACTTGTTTTTGTACTAATTCATTATATTTAGGAAACAGCTGTAGAGAAGAGGGATTCAGAATTTTTGATATACTGGTGAAATTAAATAATTTAGAATGGTTCATCAGCTAATTCCGGATTAACAAAATGCAGTAGTTTTCCAAGGGTAGAGGTGTTCATTTAAGTCTGATCGACCTCCTCTTGATAAACATTGAGTCAGATTTTAATTGCATTCCTCTCCCTAAATTTTTTTGTTACTTTTGTATTTCCTTTCTCTGTATTTTTACTGGCTTGTTGAATATTAGTTGAATTTTACATATCTAAGGAGAAATTTGCATTTTATTGGTTTTTAATTTCATTTCTTTCATGTCTTCAGTGGATTTGGTTCTAAATTTCTTCCTTTTTGTCTATTACTTAATAATTTTCAGCAGCATTTGCATGGAAATGGTATTGAGATAATTTGTTTAAAATAAAAATAATGTTGATACTGTAATATATATATATATATACAGTGGTGGCCAAAATTGTGGACACTTTTGGAAATTTTTATGTTTTTGAACTTTGTATGCTTATAGAAAACATTACGTTTCACAAAATGCAAACTTGTATATATCATTTTAAAGAGAATTTATTGCTGAATTCAATACAAAACACAAAATTCAATTATTTGCAATACAAAAAAAGTTAAACAATAATAGTTATCGATATACATTAGATAGTGATGATTGCAGTGAGTTATCAGTACTTAGTAGGTACCCTTTATTTTTTATTACAGCTTCACATTGACGTTTCATTGAGCTGACAAGAGTTTTAAGCTCTTCTTTCGTTATTACATGATGCCAGGAAACAATTATAGCCTCAATTAGTTCCTTTTTATTTGATGAGTGCCTCATTCAGACAAGAGTTTTCAAATGGTGCCACAAATTTTCGATAGGATTCAGGTCAGGACTGTTTCCTGGCCATGACAACAATTTAATGCTCTTTGTACGAAACCATTCTTTCGATATTTTGGACGTGTGGCAAGGAGCAGAATCCTGCTGAAAAATAAATGAAGCATTGTTGTGAAAGAGATCTCTGATGGAAGGTAGAAGTTTTGGTTCTAGAATAGTGTAAATGTATTTTCTGGCATTCAGTGTCCCATCGATGACATGAAGGCGACCAATACCATCTGCTGACATGCATGACCAAATCATAACACTAACTGGGTTCTTCACAGTTGCTTGAATGCAGTCAGGATGTAGCTCTTCTCCTATTCTACGTCTTACATATTTCGCCATCACTACCGAATAACGATATCTTAGTTTCATCACACCATATAACTTGTGACCACTGATCATCTGTCCAATTAATGTGTTCTTTGCCCACTGTAGTCTTTTTTTTTTGGTTGTTGCTGAAAATGAAGATAAGGTTTTTGTGGAATTCTACCTCTCAGTCCAACATCTGTTAATCTTCTCCTGATTGTTCTTGAAGTGACAGAAACACCAGCATCATTCAGATCACTTCTGATGGCCGCTGATGACATTTTTCTATCTTGGAGACATAGTCTTTTTATTCTTCTGTCATCAATAGATGTAGTGCACCTTTTTCTGCCTTTTCCTTCTTTGTTTTTTATTGAATTTGTCTCCTGATATCGTAAGCAAAACTTTCAGACTCCACATGTAGTCACTGAACCACCCACTGCCTTGCAATTTCAGCATAGGAAGACCACTTTCTCGTAACACATAATATTACATCTCTTTCTAGGTTGTCCAATCTACTCTTTTATTTGATGTCATTGCTTCTTGACTAAAATTTTTACAAAAATTCCTACTTGTAATTGCAGTGTATAAGAAACAGGTCCTCCTTCTACAGAACAAAGCAAAATAATGAATTGTTTCAAGTGTAAACATGATGTCAGCTTCTACTGGCAGTTACTAACATTTGATTGGTTCTCAGAACAAGAACAGTGATTGGCCAGGAAAGCTAGACATTACAAACCACTTCATAACTGTGTTTTTTATTTATATTAAAGTACATATAACTTTTTCTCTTTAATAATAAATCTCTTTAAAATGATATATACAAGTTTGCATTTTGCGAAACATAACATTTTCTATAAGCATGCAAAGTTCAAAAACATAAAAATTTCCAAAAGTGTCTACAATTTTGGCCACCACTGTATATATATAGATACATATAGATATATGAAGAAGTGTACGAAGTGAAAGCAAAAACTTATAGTAATAACTTAATAGAAAAGTTAATAAAGTTAGAAAATTAATAAAACTTAGAAGATATAGAAGAAGTTAATGAAGTTTTATTGTGTTAATAAAATTTAGAAAATAAGTTAAAGAAGAAGCAGAAGTTAGTAAAGCTTAGTTAGAAAGTTAATAAAACTCAGTGCAGTACAAACACTATCAGAAATGAGACTACTCAATATAAATACATTCACAACAGTAAATTGATAAAAAAATATAATTTTCAAATATAGCTAATACCATTATTGTATCCAAACCAGCTTGTGTAGCTGACATCAAAGTCCCCAAAATGATACCACGATCATCAGCATTCTTCAACAGTGGTGAAACAACAGTGACATATTTGCTGTTCTTCCATGTTTTCAATTTATTAATTGTTAATTCTGGATACTGTCCATCAATGTTATCAAAAATGAAATCAAAGCTATGGGTGGAAAAATCACCAATTACACATTATAAATTTCAATATAAAACAACAAAATGATTGTAAGTAAAAAAATAAAAACATATTTTCTTAAAGCATAATTTAACAACCTGTGCTTATTTTTCTCCACAGAAACACGAATATATATATTATCTAACATACTATTTCAATGTTATTTTTTTAAATTATGAATCTAAAAATATACTTCTTTTTTCACATCAAACGTCAATGTAAAAGATACAGAGCATCTACTGCATATTAAAATTAATAATACACATGCTTCTGTAATTTAACTGATAATTTTTTTTTAGAATCAATTAGTAAGTTATAAAGGGTAATTCAAAAGTCCTTTACACATTAAAAAACTAATTCATAAAAATAAACAAAAGCAACAAAAAGGTTATAAATACTGTTATAATAATTAAGTTTTTGAAAATCATACCTTGATTAAATTTTGAGTGCTAATCTTTAAATTATAAAGAATTTTAGGTAATAAACAATGATGCTGTAATATTCATCAACATAGCAGAACAGGCATTCAGAGTTAAAATTGTGCACTTATTTCAGGTTAGAAAAATTATGCAGTAAAATATATTAAAAATATCTTTCTAAAAATATAAACTATATGATTATGTTCTATTTCTAGTTCTATTAACAATGCTTACACCAAGCTCTTAATTTGATTTCTTCTTAAGAATACAAGCTGTTTTACATACTGATAAAATATCATTAATTTATTACCTATTTTTTGGCTTTAATTAGCTATTTTATCTCTTCAATTAGCCTCAAAACTTTTCTATGGGTTCATTTATCTAGAATTTATCAGAGTCAACTTGTCACAGACACTGCCTTCCAAAATTTAAAAGTATTGCAGTAAGTTTTATAATAGATATGATGCTTAACTATGGGCAAAGAGCAACTTAGTTTATCAGAAATATCATATTTCCTTTAGTAAAAATATAAAAGTCATACAAATGCATACTATTTATCTATTGATTTACTTTTTAAATCATTCTACCAACTACAATGTTAAAGGGTAAGAATCATTAAAAGTTGCTATAATAAAAAGCCATTATATTTTATGCAAAATATTTCACTTTGGATCAAACAGTCAAATTTTTTCCCAAACATTTAATAAGAAACAATAAAATTATATATTTTAAAAATAGCCATAAGATGTTTAAAGTGAATTTGAAAAAAATGTAGCTGCTGATATAGCTTACATATTTTGTTTTAAAATTATATAATAATAAAAGAAATTAATATTAAATATTTGAACAGGCAAATCATTAATTTACTATTTTTATAAACAGAATTACTCATAAAGAAACATTATCAAGAACAATACCAATTATACTGATAGATCATATTTATCTTTTCATGTTATGACACAACATAATAAAAAATAAAATTTTTAAGTAACTGCAAGTTTAAGCTCCTTATTGACTACAGAAGTTCAATAAAAACAAAAATTTGAAGTCAATAAATATAACATACTTAAATAAATGTTTATTGTATTGTTAACATATTTGGTTAATCTTTGGATTATGGTAACTTGGCGATTTTTTGGGGAAAATTTGGCGACCAACCCTGCTACAGCAACCTCCTAGTTTTTTTTTTTTTTTTTTTGACGCCATTTTGTTTTCACGAAGTAAAAACATTTTGTTTTTAAACTCAACATTTTTTCCCCAACAATCTGTTAGTCGAATTACGTTTATGCTAGAACTTTTATGGAACAAAGGTGCTTCATCATGACGAAGACTAGGTGCGAATTGGGAGAAATGCAGAATTGCCCACTGCTTGCTGCATTTTTAAGAATTGCACATATACGGTATCCATGTACATGTCGACCTATTTTCACTTAAAAACCCATCCCAGAATTGCACAAAAATGGCATTGTGCACACTCTTGACTTGACCATGTACACTGCTAAAGGCCTAGCTAGTAACCTTTATCGCCTTACCAAAATGTCGCCAAACTACCTGTTACCATATTCCAAAGATTAGCCACATATTTTTATTAAACATCAATTAGCTGACACTGAAGGGAGTTGGGCAAAACAAAATTTTAGGTAATCAAAAATTTGAGTTAATAAGATTGTTCACAAAATTGTACCTATGTATTCTACACAGATATAGATATAAATGTACTTAATAATGCAAGAGAGTTATAAGGCTTAATGTCATTTTGATAATTAAAATTGTTTTGACACAATTAGAATCAAGAAACTCTTCTAAATTTTAATTATGTTGATTCATAATTCAGGTCTTTCATTGCATATTCATATTACAAACATACTTTACCAAATCAAGTAGAAGAAAATCGTACTGTCATAGCAATCACAGCAAATTAGATGACATATATATAACTACAAAATAATAATTTTTTAAATGTATTTTTTCAACAAGAAAAACCTTATATGAAGACTTCAGTAGTTTAATAAAAACAGCTTTTTAAAGCATTATGTTATGATTCCTTACAAAAAAATTCATTGTTTTAAAACGGGGGGGGGGGGGGGTAACACTGATCCAGCTCTATTTAGCTTTATTCCATATAAAAATACAGTTTCCTTTCACACATCACACAGATTTTTTAATGCCCAAAAGAATAGGAGTACAATTACTCATGGTGAAAACTAGAAGATCCCCGAAATCATAAGATAGCAAATTTATTCATACTTAAATATTTTGAAAAGGAAGCATGAGACATAATCTTCCTGGTTAGGGAAGAAGATCTTGTTTTTAGAAAAAAGACATCTAATGAAATTAACTTCAGTATCATTAAAAAAAAATTGAATTATCAATATACCAAGCTAAAGAAATTAATTATCAAGCAAAGTTAATATTCTTTTTAATAAATTACATCTGTGAGAAATGATTTTGTGAGTTATACGTGTGAGAAATTATTTTTAAATATATTGAGAGGAATATTCATTCCTGATACATTAAAAATTTTTATTCACAAATACAATAATAATACATATAGGGTATTTGTATATAGGGTATTTGCATATAGGGATGATACATATAGGGTATTTGCATAAATAAAGTGCCGAATAACGATTATTGCTGTCTTTAAGTAAGGAACAACTACGAATTTTATTGAAAGAAGAGGAAACAACCCAGAAGTTGAATTCTGTTAAATATGTGCAATTTTATAGCTAATCAATGGAAAGAAAGGAATGACAACATAATTCTTACATCTCATAAAATGAGAGGGTGCTTTCTAATATGTTGAGAATTTTCTAATCATTTGGTCAATAACGTTACGAGAAGCATTTGTCAACAGAAACTGCTTTTAAGTAATTTAGTTCTTGATCAAAGACTGATATGAAGGAGCAAACTCAAAGTGCACAGAAAACAAGGGAATCAAATGAGGCTAACTTCTGTTTACGACATGATTTGAAGGCTTACAGTAAAAACTAGTATTGAATTTGAGTATGTTGTGTGTGGTTAAGATGTTGAGACATGGAAGAGAATTGGTTGTCTCAAGTTCAAAATTAAACTGAATAGCAGGATCAGTGGAATTCATTACTGAGAGAACTTTACTTAAATCGTCTTGATAATAGTGGAATCGCAAAGAGAAGTTTAAAATTTCAAATAATTTTGATTCATAATAACACATATACATATCAACAAGGATAAGACTAAGAGGGCTTCACATGGCTAATCTCCGAGTTTGCTTGTAATACTTATTTTGAAAACAAAATGTATTTGTTGCAGACAGAGTTGAGTAAGGAAAATTAACTCATCGTTTTTGATACAGGAGAAATTAAATTCTTGAAATCGCGTTTTCACGCATTTAAGTGCATCTTCCACTGGAACATTAGTGATTTACATCAAAAGAAACCATGATAAAATTTCTAGAGGAAAAGCCTGTTACTTTTTTTTTTATAAACTCTATTGAATTTTTATGGTGTAAGTGTTATTAATAACAAAACTGGAAATCTGGAAACTAAATCTTTACCTCATGAGTATGAGTCAGTGCTTAAATTTGATACAACAGAGCGGGATGGAATAACAGTTTTATGAATTTTGAATACAGCATATAATCAGACACAATTTGCAATAAATGGGATAAGCTATGTCTTTTGCGAGAGTTGGAAGAATTTGTGAAAATCATATTTTGGACTGTAACTACAAAAATAATGAAAACTGTTTCTGAAATTCATATTTAATTTATTCATTATTTAATCGCTCAATTAGCAGTCATTCAAAGCAAAATGAAGAAAAAAATGAAACCACAAATAAAAGGTTTTGGTTGGTTTGGTTTATTAGATTACGGCAAAGCACTCGAGGGGCTATCTGCCTTAAGGAAGGGATGCCTTCGTGGAGAACTTTTGAAGGGAAACTGGCTCATATACATGATACACATGGGGAAAACCGCGAAAACACCCATGCAGCCAGCCCGTTCGTCGCGGGATTCGAACCTCGGACCGAACTATCAGTGTTCAGCAAAAGGCCGACAAGCGAAGTGAAAGCCTACGTGTGTGCGGAATCGAGCTCCAGATTTAATGTGGATAAAGTTCGGTCATTTAGTGCAAAAGGGAATAATTTACATATCAGCGAAATGATCTCGCCGAGAGCTTTAACTTGATATTGGTTTCATGTTGTTATGAACAATAGATCTAGAGTTAAAATCTTTTCAAGATTCTACTCCATTGTCTAAGCATTCGCCATAGAAGAGTGCAAGGGAATACTAATTTTCAGAGAAGTGCATCTCAATAGTGACTCTGTATAAAATGATATCTCGGCTTCCCCCCCCATATGCCAATCTAGCCACAACCAGCATATCATTGAATAGCAGGTATCTTCCGCTTGCCTCCGGAACAAGTTTGGATATTGTAATGTCATCGAGTGTGATAACACAGCATTTTAAATTAGTGTCAAAAAGTGAATTTTTAAAGGAAAATTGTCAATATATTTTCATCCACTGGGAATAGCAAAGCGATGCAACAATAGCAAGGTAGGCCCATTATTACCATATTTGGATGTGTTCCTAATAACTGTAGGTCTATTAGTTGCAAT